GTGAGCCTCCTCCAGTATGCAATAAGTGTCAGGGGTCCGAGACTGTTCAACTGCCTCCCAGCATACATAAGGGGGATTACCAATAGACCTCTGGCTGTCTTCAAGCAGACACTGGACAAGAACCTAAAGTCGGTGCCTTACCAGCCGAGCTGTGGCTCGTACGTTGGATTGCGTGCAGCCACAGTAACAACCTGATTGAAACAGGCTGTGATCCACCAGGAGGCCTGGTCACAGACCGGGCCGCGGGGGCGTTGACCCCCGGAACTCTCTCCAGGTAAACTCCAGGTATAACATCAGCCGAGTGGCACCCAGTTCTTTCACAGGTGAGCCTCCTCCAGTATAACATCAGCCGAGTGGCACCCAGTTTTTCACAGGTGAGCCTCCTCCAGTATAACATCAGCCGAGTGGCACCCAGTTCTTTCATAGGTGAGCATCCTCCAGTATAACATCAGCCGAGTGGCACCCAGTTTTTCACAGGTGAGCCTCCTCCAGTATAACATCAGCCGAGTGGCACCCAGTTTTTCACAGGTGAGCCTCCTCCAGTATAACATCAGCCGAGTGGCACCCAGTTTCTTTCATAGGGGAGCCTCCTCCAGTATAACATCAGCCGAGTGGCACCCAGTTTTTTTCACAGGTGAGCCTCCTCCAGTATAACATCAGCCGAGTGGCACCCAGTTCTTTCACAGGTGAACCTCCTCCTGTATAACATCAGCCGAGTGGCATCCAGTTCTTTCACAGGTGAGCCTCCTCCTGTATAACATCAGCCGAGTGGCACCCAGTTTCTTTCACAGGTGAGCCCTCCTCCTGTATAACATCAGCCGAGTGGCACCCAGTTCTTTCACAGGTAAGCCTCCTCCAGTATAACATCAGCCGAGTGGCACCCAGTTCTTTCACAGGTGAGCCTCCTCCTGTATAACATCAGCCGAGTGGCACCCAGTTCTTTCACAGGTGAGCCTCCTCCTGTATAACATCAGCCGAGTGGCACCCAGTTCTTTCACAGGTGAGCCTCCTCCTGTATAACATCAGCCGAGTGGCACCCAGTTCTTTCACAGGTGAGCCTCCTCCAGTATAACATCAGCCGAGTGGCACCCAGTTCTTTCACAGGTGAGCCTCCTCCAGTATAACATCAGCCGAGTGGCATCCAGTTCTTTCACAGGTGAGCCTCCTCCAGTATAACATCAGCCGAGTGGCACCCAGTTCTTCACAGTGAGCCTCCTCCAGTATAACATCAGCCGAGTGGCATCCAGTTCTTTCACAGGTGAGCCTCTCCCAGTATAACATCAGCCGAGTGGCACCCAGTTCTTTCACAGGTGAGCCTCCTCCAGTATAACATCAGCCGAGTGGCACCCAGTTCTTTCACAGGTGAGCCTCCTCCAGTATAACATCAGCCGAGTGGCACCCAGTTCTTTCACAGGTGAGGCCTCCTCCAGTATAACATCAGCCGAGTGCACCCAGTTCTTTCACAGGTGAGCCTCCTCCATATAACATCAGCCGAGTGGCACCCAGTTCTTTCACAGGTGAGCCTCCTCCAGTATAACATCAGCCGAGTGGCACCCAGTTCTTTCACAGGTGAGCCTCCTGTATAACATCAGCAGATTGGCACCCAGTTCTTTCACAGGTGAGCCTCCTCCAGTATAACATCAGCCGAGTGGCACCCAGTTCTTTCACAGGTGAGCCTCCTCCAGTATAACATCAGCCGAGTGGCACCCAGTTCTTTCACAGGTGAGCCTCCTCCAGTATAACATCAGCCGAGTGGCACCCAGTTCTTTCACAGGTGAGCCTCCTCCAGGCTACACCCAGTGGTTTTTTTCCTTTCATGTTCATACTTATTCCTTTCTCCGAAGTGTGTGAGACAACAGGCTTCATTTTCAGTTAGTTTTCAAGGAAAACTATATGCAATAATGCACTCACTAGTATAATACCGAGTCACATCCACGTTACATACCCAGTGAATTTTTAAAAACCTTTTGAATGTAGAGGGTTGATCCCAGAACGTCAAACACCCTTTTTAGTTCATTTTGGTTCGGGGTTGAACAAAAAATCGTTTCCCGGGGAAAAACCCTTGTCAAATTTTTTTAATGTTATTTAAAAGTGGAAGTTACCAAGCCGACGGGACTTGTAGTTAAAAGATACTCAACTGCAGCTCACCCGGGTTTCTTGAGATTTGGGTTTAAGTTACGATTTTGCGGATTTTTAAACCCCCGGGGGAGAGACCCAACCCAGGAAAACCCCAAGAAAGTCAGTGCGTAAATCGAGGACAGTAAAATTTCCCAAATTAAAATTCAAAAGTTTTTTCCCCTAAAAAGGATTACAATGCTGAGTTTTCAGAATTTGGTTATTGTGGGGGTTTTTCCATGTAGTAAAATAAAAATTACAGAGTCCCCCAAATAGAGCACCTACGGGCTAGGCATTTGGGCGTTTTTAATTTAAATTTAAATTTTTTAAAATATTACAAATTATGAAGTAATTTGGGTTTTAAATGGCTAAGTGATAAATACTAGTTTTGAGTTTAGAAATGTGAATGTTTTTTTGTTTTTGGCACGGGTTGGTTTAAGAAAACACAGGCCTTATCTTAGGTTTTAAATTGAACATAGTTTCTTCATAGTATTTCTGCAAAAACAAAATATAATAAACTGTACACTAATAATAGCTTCAAAACGGGGATGGTGATGTCTTGCTTTATGTCAAGAAAAATTTATAACTACAGGCCACATTTTTAAAAACTAAACCATGTAATCTGAAACGTGAAAAATGGTTTAAAGGAAGAGAATAAACACCCCATGTTTTTGGCCCCCCGGGACACACACCAAACTGTTGTTGTTTTTTAAAGGGGCCCCCTAGAGGTGGTGCAGTTTTACCCTGCTGTTTGCCCCCCAACAGGACCATATAAACTACAATCCCCCCCTTCCCTAAAATATCAGAGACATTTAAATCCCCCAAAACTGTTGGGGTGGGCGAACGTACACGTCCCGCCCTTCGTCCCCCTTTGAGCCTCTTCACCCAGGTTCGATTTTTTCCAGCGGGGTTTGATTAACTGTTGGAGCAAAATCCTCTATTTCCATGGGGGTATTTCTCGGGGTTTTCCCAGGGGGGAAAAACGAAGAACCTTTCACATCTTTTGGTGTATTTTGGATTCCACACTAATAGGGATTTCAACGGGGGCAAAATTTGTTTTGTAGTTATGTAGTCTCTTCACCTTTTTGGTAGCAAAATGGGGGCCGTAATGTGGTTTAAAAGGCTTGCGGGGAGCTCTACCTCTTCCACAAAAGGGATGTTTTGTTCATCCTAGGGTTTGACCCCTTAGGAGAACGGGTCCGGGGTTTGACAAAACCAGTGGGCACGGAGGCTCCCGTAGGGGAAACGAGGGGAATAGTTGGGGAGTTTTTTCATGAGGGGTTGCTTTAAGTGCTGTGCACGCAGTGATCTAATAAAAGGAAGAGCATCGGGTTTGGCCCGGTTTGCCGTTTGAACGGGGGTTAATTTGCGCAAATTTTAAAATGTCATTGTAACTCCCCTTCCATATAGTACCTTTTGAACCGCTCCATTTTGACCATTCCCTTGGGGGTTGTAGCTTGTTTTTTTCTGCGCGGGAAATACCTTTGCTACCCCAAAAAACTCCTGAATTTTCGTTACTCATGAACGAGGACCCCCCTGTTGAATGGATATAACGGCCCATCCAAAAAAAAGAGAACAACTGGGGAAAGAAAAACTAATAACAGTTGAAGCAGCCATATTTTCCCACAGGGGAAAAAAAAGGGGAAAAACCTTGAATATTCATTATATGTTAAGGAAAATCCCTATTTTGATTTGTGTTTGGTAGAGGTCCTTTAAAAATCTATATTCAATCTTTCGAAAGGCTGGGTTTGGTTTTTAGAGATGGTCTTCCCCCGGGGCTGATAAAAAATTTTTGGCTTGAAATCTGCACATACTTGCTGCTCTAAACATTTGTCCCCACATTTTTCCACTGAGTGGGGGGCCTTTTCTTTGTTTTGAAAAAATGGTACAGGCGTGAAAAACCCTGGGGGGACCCCAAGCCTTGGGAGAGCGGGAAAAGTGATTAAAAATCTTTGACATGCTGCTCCCACAGGGGGAAACCTAGAGAATGCATCGGGTTTGGAGATGTTCTTTTGGGCCCCGGTGGGTTTTACAAAAATATAAAAAGCAAAACACGATATTTTCCATCCTCCAGCTTTAATTTTCTTGTCATTTTTTACCTACTTTTGTGCCTATTTTTCGAACATAAAACATCAGGGGACCTTTGGGTAAACCCTTAGGGTGAAATGTCTACCAGTTAAATAAGCCTCCAGGGGGCGAACTGTTCTATGTTTGGCCCGGGGTTTCCTTTTCTACAGCACAAAACTTTTCTCTTTTCCTTGAAAAGTTCTGAAAAGAAGGTTTACTGGCGTCCTCCCCGGAGTAAGACTGCGCAATGGCAATGTCAATGCACCCTTTTTCCACTTCGAATGGAGGGACTCATCAATGGCTTGAACTTCTGATTTTTAATGCCCTTTGTTTGAGGAGGGAAAAAGCGGCTTCTGCTTCCTTTGTAAACAGGAAATTTTGGTAGCACTCAATGGGGGGCCCTTTACTTGAATGTTTAGATCCATTGTAAAAAAAATAAGCAAAGAGCCCCAAGGTTTTTCTTCGGAGTAAACTTTTTGTCTTAAAGGCTTTGGGAATTTCCCCGTAGAGGTCGTCGTCGTTCAGGGTCTGGGAATATTGAACCTCCTTCCACTACAAACCAAGGAGGCTAAGCCTTTTGGTTGAAAAAGTGCATTTTTCCCATTGTAACTGATTTTTTTTCTTCTTGGCGGTTTCCCAAAAAAACTTATCAAGGTTTCCCTTCAGGTTCCTCCTGGGTCTTGCCCCCAAATGGAAACCCATTATCTAAATACGCGTGGGTTCCCCACGAGTTGTTTCTTCCTAAATGATTTGAATCCAAAATTCGTTTGGAAGCGGCTCCCCCCATTGGTGACTCCCAAAAGGGGACCTGGAAAACT